CAAGTGGTGTCCCTAATCAATGGACCTTTAACTGGTGTGGAGGTTTGGCACAGTGTATGTGGGTCATGGTCCTGTGGAAAATAATCCAATACTTCCTTCGTGAAAGCTGACACACCCACTACTTGTGTTCCTTGTCTCTCCTACCCTTGGTGCAGGTTGTCATGATTTAGTTTCTGATTTACACTGACGACCTTCACACTAGTCCCTTTCGCCCTCGGTCCTGCCCTTAGAGATCTTCCCAACAGAGATTCCTCTTCTGACTTCATCAAATTGTACCTACCTCTCTACAGAATCTTTACTTAGGTATTCCTCTTGATATATGACATAAAGTTCAGAGACTTCAGCAAGAAATAAACAGGTCCCAACTAGGACCTCCACCTGTTTCTTGAAATTCACCTCTGTCACTCTTCCAAGAGAAATACCCTGAAAAACCAGTTCATGTATTCCTTCTCCCCATGTATTATGAATGGAGCAAAGGTCCATGTGCTCCATACCTGTTATACCCACAGGCATCTTCTGAGCTGTGCCCTGACATGAACACTGTCCAAAAATGGCTGGCCCATTGGTTTACCACATTTGCATCATCTGGGAGGCAGTATGTGACAGAGTCTAAGAGCAAAGGAACATACAGTGGGTTCAAACACTGCCTCTTTCCCTGCCTAGCAATGGGAAGTTGACTAACTTTTGTTGTCGCAGACTAGGAGTCTGGAGTTCTCTCTTGTCCAGCAAGAGAGCAGATGCAGAATTGAATACGAAAGAGGCTAACATCTGGTAGGAGACAAGAGCCCCGAGTAGGCATTTCTCTCCATATTTATTGAGCTCACAAGATATTACCCACGTGGTGAGTGTGAAGAAAACAACATCTTACACACATGGTGAATGTGGAGAAAACAATCAGACAGTAATCATTAACTTGTGTGCGTAAGTAGCAAAGGGTCTGGGGCTCAAGTGGAGTTTGTGACCAAGGTACATTGGAGCCAGATGGAAAGTAGTTTCCTGAAGGTGATAGAACAAGTTTCTTGCGATCCCAGTACAATATCTCACTAGCTCACCTCGGGCATTGTCACCCTGTGGTGGTGGCTTTCTGCCATCATCTTTTTTCTAACCATTTATGTAAGTACAACTGATTTCCCCACATTTTGTAAGCACTTTGACTGCTTTATGCAACTAGCACATGATGGTTATCATGGTATTGACTACATTGTGCAGTGAGGCTTATATGATTTGTTATATGTGAATACCTGGACACAGTATGTGAACCATAAATGTCTAATATTATTATTATTAATTATTATTATTAATTATTATCATCATTGTTGTTGTTATTGCATAGATGAAAACAACTGAAGTCTTTCCTGCTTCTCAATGCACCAGACATTGAAGGACAATTTCCGCATAAGATAAAATAGCACAATTTCATTTAAGGACCAGAATCAGCCTCCATTTAAAGTTCTTTTGACTCTTGAACAAACTTGAGCCTGAGACATATGGAAGGGCCCAAAGCAAAACCAGGAGACAGGGTCTGCATATAAGCGTAAGAGCATATAAGGCATGACCATCTACCCTCCTCCCTGAGGCTAAACACAGCACTGCTGAGGTCATAATATCATGGAGACCCTTGGGCTCATATTTGATGACATCCAGAACACTCAGCACTCTACTTGTGTAAATTAGAAACAGCCAAACACCAAAGAGCTCTTTGACATGGTCAGACACTTATTCAAAGATTCCATTTTATCAAAAATGCCATAATGTTGGGGCGCCTGGGTGGCTCAGTCGGTTAAACATCCAACTTCAGCTCAGGTCACGATCTCGCGTTCTGTGAGTTTGAGCCCTGCGTTAGGCTCTGTGCTGACAGCTCAGAGCCTGGAGCCTGTTTCAGATTCTGTGTCTCCCTCTCTCTCCACCCCTCCCCTGCTCATGCTCTGTGTCTCTCTGTCTCAAAAATAAATAAAAACATTAAAACAAATTAAAAAAAAAATTTTTTAATGCCATAATGTTTGGGGCGCCTGGGTGGCTTAGTCGGTTAAGCGTCTGACTTCGGTTCAGGTCATGATCTCACGGTCCGTGAGTTCGTGCCCCGCGTCGGGCTCTGTGCTGACAGCTCAGAGCCTGGAGCCTGTTTCAGATTCTGTGTCTCCCTCTCTCTCTGCCCCTCCCCTGTTCATGCTCTGTCTCTCTCTGTCTCAAAAATAAAGAAACGTTAAAAAAATTTAAATGCCATAATGTTTAAGATACTGTTAAAGTTATTACAGTTCATCTACGTGGGGACTGTTCCCACTCTCTGTATAGGAGGTCATTCTGTATGTTTCTATCTCTATAAAGAAAAACATTTACATACATTAGAACACCATAGACTGTGTCTTAGAACTGGCTACACATACATGACTATATTTTAGGGACAGAAACATGGTGCCGAAACACGAATTTAATCAGTTTGGTTAAGGCTTCAATTGTTTACAATTCTGTGAGAAAATAAGTGGATGACCAGAAGAAAAGTTTCAATAAAATCACATTTCAGTTTCATGTAATGCTATCCTTTATCGAAAAGGTGATCACTGTTCCCCTTTGCCCCTGTGCCCCCCTTATTTCATTTATAGGGTGGGGCCCAGAGCCAGAAGTTCACAGTACCGTCCAGAGTTCTCTCTGCCACTGATGGAGGTCAACGTTATAGATGTAGTCACAGTTTCTAGAAGCACAGCCTCACCAGGGAGAACACACGTAGGGTTGAGTTGAAAAATAAAAGCTGTACCACTAGTAATTCCTTCTTCAACTCACCAGCGGGTCCTGACAATCCCTCGCTTCACTACGACAAGGGAGGCCTGAGGGAAGCATGACCTTTCAATGCACTTTTTAAAAAAATATTTTTATTATTTGAGAGAGCGCATGTGCGCATGAGTGGGGAAGGGGCAGAGAGAGGAGATGGAGAGGGAGAACCCCAGGCAGGCTCTGTGCCATCAGCACAGAGACCCACAAGGGGCTCAATCCCATATACCGTGAGATCATGACCTGAGCTGAAATCAAGAGTGGGACACTTAACCAACTGAGCTACCCAGGAGCCCCCAATGCACTTTTAGGACAGGCTCTCACATTTCCAATTTAGGTAAAAGGAGCCTCCACATGGTTCGGCCCAGCCCTTATTAGACCCTGACTGTCGCAGAACTGATAGGTCAACCCGATGACCAAAGGTTCCATTGGCTGTGGCTGGTCTCTTCCCTGGCTTGGCACCTGTCTCTTCCACCACTGACTGTGCCCAGGGGGCAGATGTGGATCTATTTAAAGAATGGGTGCTAAGTAGAAGATAAAAACTAGAACTCAGTTTCCTGTCAAACCCTGCATTCTTAACCTCTTTCCAACCATGGCAGTTTACTTGGCGTTTATGCAAGTTAATTCTAGATTCAGAAGTCAAATGTGTCTCTATTTTTAAAGGAAAGCTTTTGAAGGTTATCTATTAGTCTCCTTAGTAAAGAGTTAGCCTCTTGAATCAAATCAGCTGAAGTGCACAAAATTGACCCTTCACTGTTTTTAGAACTGTCACTTAGACAGAAGACCTCATTGACAAGTCATTCTAAGTGACTTTTGCCTCACCTTTCTTTGAGGCTCTTATCACATAGACACTGGTGCTATCAGCTGGGCTATTACGGGGATAACACATTGAAGTTGTAATAATTTCTAGTTTCCATTTAAAAAAAATACCCTCAGTCAAGTATGTGTTAGCCTTTTCCCTTTCACATGTAACTTCTGAGTTTAAAAACTCTTAGTTTATCCTAGCAATCTTCCTCCAGACCCTGTATACCCCTGGGCATAATACCTTACAACAGCTATAAACGCAGGGAGGCCATATCTCTGTATGATATATTAAAAACACAAACGGTGCGTTTGTGAAGCATATATGCAGAGACAGAGGCCATCGGTCTAAGAGAAATTGAGTTCTGCTACTTTAGGAGGCTCCAATGCCTTGAAATATTTGGGCTATTATAGACAAAAGCCTATTTTCCAAGTGCTGCAATTAGTGGCTTATGTGAACAGTGAACGAGTTCATGATGCAGGGCCAAGTGAGAACATTAGAAAGGCATTCGTGTGTCCCAGCACACACTGTAGATTCATCATACCAGTACTGTTCTCCTGCAAGCATTGCTATGCTTTCTATCTCAACTTCCCTCCCTCACATTCTTGTATCCCTGACTCCTGAGTCTTCCCAGATCCTGCCCCCAACTACTACTTTGTAATTCAGCAAACCTCACCTCATGCATAGCACCCTATCTCTGCTTGGTACTACAGAAAACATACATTTGGAACCTGGCCTTGAAATACGCATGGTCTTCTAGGGGACACAGGAATTAACCAAACAAACCAATTAGAAAAGTCTTGAAAACAACACAGTCAGAGGCAAGATTCATAGACTATCAATAAAATGGTTAATGGGGGTGCCTGGGTGGCTCAGTCGGTTAAGCGTCCGACTTCAGCTCAGGTGAAGATCTTGCGGTCCATGAGTTGGAGCCCCACGTCGGGCTCTGGGCTGATGGCTCAGAGCCTGGAGCCTGCTTCCGATTCTGTGTCTCCCTCTCTCTTTGCCCCTCCCCCGTTCATGCTCTGTCTCTCTCTGTCTCAAAAATAAATAAAAAATAATAATAAAAAAAATAAAAGTAAAAGAAAATAAAATGGTTAATGAAGAATAAATTTGATGTCATTGTTGGCTGGTAATCTTCCAAAGGTATCTCAAAATTACTGAACGCAGCAATCTAAAGACGAGAGAGTCTGTCCAAGTCTATCATGTGTCAAACACTTCAAGTCTCATCCTCTATGAAGGTCCATCTTACATCAAAATCTGTATATATGTTTAAATCTGGATGAGGAAAGATCCTAACAAAGATACAGACATGATGATGAACTCATGTACAAAAAGAGGTGCATGTGACAGCCTTGGTGGCTGTCGGGAATGACATAATAAAATCAGACTGATTTTCACAAAAGTGTTTTGTGCAGGCCACTAGTCTTGAAAACAGTCATACTGCATATCCGTCTTAAAAATTCACTTGCACTGTGGCACCTTCAAGGAACTGAGGTCTTAAGTAAGTGAAACCATTAACTTTTGTTCGACCCATCATTCTCCCAAATGACCATATAAACCCTAACCTTCATCACATAAACAGTTACCTCTAGGACACGGGGTAAGAACTGAAGAACTGTGTACATCGAGCAGAACATAAAGAAATCTAGAATGCCAGTGTAGAGTTCAAATTCCTTTGTTCAACGGGCAAAATTACGGAGTAGATTTTCGGTGATCTGGCTTAGATATTAAGAAAGCTCTTGTATGAGATGAACCGGAGGAAACAAAATTCCTGAAAAATTCCTGAAAATCCTAAAACCACTAACGAGATAATTGTAAGAATCTTTTCTTTTCGTTTTCTTTTTTTTTTTTTGTAAACTATTGGCTTAGGAGGTTGGCTTTGCAAATACAAGAGAGAAGCACCAGAGATATGGAAAAAAAAAAATAAATGGTATCAAAAGAATAAGAGATATAGTAAAAACAAGATCACTGAAAAGGAGACTG